GCCTCCCTGTGTGTCTCCTGCATTTTCCACGGCAGGAAAATGATCCCTGTGAAACTGGAGTGGCCAGAGGGAGCCCTGCAGCCCCGGGACCAGCCCCCTGGCCCCACAGACCCTGGCACTAAGGGCTGAGGTGGCTGTGGTGTCAGCTTCCCCAGCCACCCCTGCCCACCTCACCCCGGTGTGGAAGTGCCCCGGGAATGTTTTTTTAGGAGCAGCAGCTTCTGCTGGGATCAGCACCATCCAGCCAACGTGGCCTCCTGGCCAGGCAGCCTGGCTTCCCAGCCATCTGGCTGCATCCCGGGTGCTGTGGTCATTGCCCAGGGAACAACCATCCCACAGAGGAGAAGAAAATATTTGCAAGCAAGAGCAAGGAGGAGTGCACAGACCTGTTTGGGAACGGAGGCTGAAGGGTGAATAACCTGCTCCCAGGCAAGCACTCCACAAAACACCCAGCTCTTCCTGGCCAGGCTGTGGCCACCCTGCCCTGGCACCAGGAGGGCACAGGAGTGGCTCTGACAGCCAGGATTCCACGTGCACAGTGGGGAATTTCACTCAGAGGGACGTGAGACCCTGGCCAAGGGACTGGCATCCCCCATGGGCACCAGACAGAGCCCCAGGGAGCCCATGCCTGGGGGCTACACGGAGCAGCCTGGCATGGGACCCACTCTCAGCTGCCCCAGCTCCCTGTTCCCTTTGCCAGGGCTCAGGACAGGCACCCCAGTCCCGGGACAGCCTCATGCCACCAGCCTGTGGTTTTGCTGGCACCCTGTGCCACCACTTGCTGCCAGTGGTGCCTGTTCCAGCTGTGCTGTGCCACCTCTGGCTCCAGCAGCAGCTCCCGTGGGTGTGAACCTGCCCCAGGAGAGCCCCTGGCTCGGGATGGGAGGGCAGCCGGTGCTTCCTGGCAGCACGACCAGGTCTCCACAAGGCACCGCGTGCCCTGGGGGTGCGGGGGCGCCGAAAAAAAAAACCCGGCTTCCCGGGGGGGGGGGGGGGCGCCGATGGAGAAGGATGTGAGGTCCGGGATGGGGAACCTGCCCCAAGACACAGCAGCGAACCCACGGGCCCCGTGGGAGGAAAGGTCTTACCATACAGGGCTGCCACATCTGCTAGGGCTGCCGGGGAGGCCTCATGTCACA